GGTTTCCCTCAGTGGGTTTACCAGAAATGAACCAGTGGCGTTATTTTTAGAAGGAGCTCACCATATGATCTACATTTCAAATGAGCACCCTTCAAATGTGCAAGATGTTTGAACCTAAGATACGAATTGGACCAGGTTTTTGTAAGATGAGACGGAGCCATACGCTATTTAGAAGTTGAGTAAAAGAAGTTTAAATCTAAAAGGTACCAGTGTAACTGTGTATTATTATGGCATGTGACGTATGAGTACATTGAGTTAATACTGCTAGTATTGTAGTCACAGAAGGAGAGAAGATCATACGTTTCATTGCAGGTGTTATGTTTCTTCCTCCTACTGAATTAGTTCAATTATATAGAACAGTGTCCAGTTGCACCACACCATCTCACATTCTCGTCATGTCTTGAGAGGTAATTCTATTCTTTAAATACAGACAATGGAAGGAACTCATTACTTCTGCCTCTTATTTATTAAGAAAAGGAGATGAGTGATTTTATACACACACAAGATCACACCCATCCCAACACCTAAGGCAATACGGTATCAAACAATCGTGGCTTCTGCCCTTACTTTTCTTTTTTGTCCAAAGTATACACACACAGATGCACTCTGTCAGCAAAGTGTGAAATTCCATGGAACAGACGCCGACGAGGGGGTCGATGACAGAGACAGTCTTGACGTCCACTTGTCATTCTATCTCTTCCACTCTGTCACTCTCACAAGACTTACATGCACACATTCACAAAAACACTCTAAAGGAAAACTATCATTGCTGTGTCTCAGAATGTCCCGCCAGAGCGTGGTTCTCACACACACACACAGACACACACACACACCTCTGTAATATTAGCCTCCACGAGACAAAGCTCTGATAGAATAATAATAAAAAAAACTCTAGTTCCACACCAAGCCGATGTAGTAAATACATACAGCTGCAATGCAATCATCTGTCTTTTCTTTTTGGCGTAATAGAGTTTGACATTGAGTTGGCGTTTTAAAAACACAAGCCACATCATGCACCAGCCACAAATCACCACAATATATAAAAAACATTGTGGTATCAATTTTCTTTTCTTTTTTAGCTTAAAGTGCCTGTGTTTTTCTTGAAGTAGTAAAGCAGACGTAGAGATCAGTAAGTCAGGTCAGGTTGAACTGTTCAAATGACAGCGCAGAGACAATTACAAGACTCCTAATTACAACGTCACTTCAAAGGTGTTTATTATCTGAAACAGTGATGGCACTACACATGTAACCTAGGTCTGCCCTGCTGGTTTTGTATGTACCTAATAGGGTTATCCACTGTGGATAAGTCACAATTAAGCATGATTAATCTCAAAACTTCAGGGCGTTCGTTCCCTTCAACAATATTAATCCACGTGCCTAAAAAAATAGCTGTCCAATCAAAACAACTGTTATTGGCAAACAACCCAAACCTGTTGGCTCAGTAATATTACAAGAGCTCAAGTCAGATTGCTGCTGCTACATATTATACACATGCATAACTAATACAGTTCCCATAGCAACAGGTATTCAGGCAGAGGCCACATGGACGAGCTACCTGCTGTGAGTAAGCGAGAGATGAAGAAACTGTGCAAGAGAGAGAAAACGCTCGGGTGTTTCATAAATAAAGCATGTTATCATTAGCTGTGCTGTAAACAAATTTTACTGGTGAAGCTCAGTTTTTGGGTAGCTTGCCAGTTTCTGCTCACAACATGGGAGGAGTTCTTTGACCATAGCCACATCTGAAGCACTACTAACATCTGCAAATTGATTTTTTTTCAAGAACGGCTGTTAAAAATTTAAAAAAAAAAAACACTGAAAACCTATTCAAATGGAAATTAAGGTGCTGCAAGAAAGTTCACCAGGAGTAGATTTCTGTTCGTGCATGTGCCTCATATCAAATCCACCACGGTGGGTGTGGTTGAATGAAACCAAAAAAAAAAAAAATCAGCTGAAACCAAACTCTTCCCCAGAGCATGGGCCTCAATTCTACATCAACCTCCAAATGAAAAGCTAACTTTTTTTGTGCGACGCCTCTTCGTGGCACTGCGGTATCAATCAGACACACCCTCTACAATAACACGCAGTTATGGGTTTTGGTAAGAGAGAGAGGTGGGCAGATAAATAGATGGATGGATGGAGACACGACTAAATATGTCAACACTGAATGAATGGACATTATGTTGCTGTATAACAGAGAGGCCTTATGGTATATAGTGAACACGCCCTCTGCAATAATGAGCACATGCGGCTAAGGAGAAATGGGGGAATGAATGGATAGAGGGAGAGCTTGGAGGGAACATGCTCATGGGAAACAACGTTAAGTTTTGTTTTGTTAAAAGTGAAAGAAAACATTGTTATCTTACAATTAGCAGATGTGCAAACTTTTAGAAATGATCAGTTGCTACTCACCTATGACCCATGGAAGAAAAGTGCCGAAAGAGTTTCTCTTAATCTAAAAAAAAAATCCCTGCTCATTCTTTTTCTCATCACTTGTACCTTCTTAAAATGAGTAAACAACCTCAGAGGACAAAGTCTGCTTCTTATTTTTCCAAGTGTGTCTAAAAGGCTCAATAAATTGCAGAGGTCTTGATTTGGAAGCAGATCCTTTTTTTAATGTCTAAAGTTCTGGTATACCTGCGCCTGGTGTTGTTTTCAATATTCATTAGTAAGTAGCCAACAACGAACTTATCACGCTACCTGTTTTTATGTCACCATTATCCGGTTGGGTTGAGACATTTACTAATTCAACAGGGACAAGTTTTATCCTGTCACAGCTTACACTGAAGATGAATGCAGGTAGATAAAGACTACCAAAGTTGGCTTTTTTTTCCGGAGGTGTAACCTGATCTGTGTCTCCAGACACATGAAATCAGTCTCATACATTTCAGGTTGATCTGTTAGCTGTTAACGACTTATCTGGTCACCTGTTAGTTCAACAACTTTATCTTTTTAAGTATCATTGTACGTGCTACACCCTTGAACTGGTTCAGCTGTGAGATGGTGTGGTGGTGTACTGTTTGACCTTGTAGATGTCAGTGTGTGCTACAAATGCTTTCAGTTCAAGCGAGTCACCCAGTTAGCTGGCAGCCTACACTTTAGAGCTGGCAGTAATGCTAGTGTTCTCTCTGCCATGTATGTTATACATTGTGTGTATTTATTTGAAGTGAAGTGTAAGCTGTTCTTTGTCTGTGGTGCCGACAGACACGACAAAGAAGACATATAACAGCAGTGTTGTTTATTCTTTAAAGTCAACACCATCATTAGCTGTCCACTGCTGTTCTTGAAGCTGCTACACTGTAGTTTTGGTTTTTAAACCAGCAGGTCTTTCTAGTGGATAATTGATATGTTATTAAGTAAACAGTGTCCGTAGACACAACTTTTAAGCCAATGTATGGTCGAAGAAATGCAGTTTTGTTTTGTTTTTTTGGAACCAGCAAAGTGCTTATTAAAAATATTTATTCTGGTTAATGACATAAGATGATGATGACATGATTAAATGGGTCTAAGAGATCATTTGTGGTTTTGTGGTCTAACAGAAGTTCTGTTGTTGTTTTCACTTATTAATTAGCGTCAGAGAAAACATCCATATCTTTCAGTGTATATACAGTCTGCGCTTCTGCTGCAGTGGGGTCAAAATCCTGTAGGAAAACCTTTCAGTATATGAAGTGCACTGGGTTCAGGAGGGAGGATGGAAAGTGAACACAGCACAAAACAAGACCTCTGCTTTTCACCCATCACCAAAGTGAACAGTGGGCAGTGTGTGGGGACAGTGCCATGCTCAGAGCACCTCAATGGTAACTTGGCAGCTGGTGGACTCAAACCTGAAACCTTCTGGACCCAAGTCCACTTCCTTAACCACTAAGCCACCACTGCCCCTGTGTGATTCCAATAAATGCACAAGTAGGGCAGACTTTGCTTTCCACTATTTCAGTGGGGCTCTGGTTGTACTCTCTCTGCCTCTCTCCCCCCCTCTCTCTTTTGGGAATGACTGACAGCTTTGTGTGTCTCTGCATGCAGTAGTAAGGACTGTGCTGACAGCAGATTGCCTGGCTCAGTTGGATAGAATTCACAGATCAGATCATCACAACTAGACCCACGCCCACGTACGCACGCACACATTCACACAAAAACATGTAGACTCACCCTATCGCTGTGTCACTAAACGGAATGACAGAATGTCGCAAGAAATGCTGAGAGTTTTATGCAACAGATGCCGCACCTTCTCTCATACTCACGTAAACTCTGACACAAGAACACACACACACACACATATAGCATCCCTCCTACAGAAAGACCGGTCCCACTGAGTGGCTCGACAATAGTCCTGTCAATCAACGTCAAGTCCCTGCTTAGCCGTCTAAAGAGGTCCTCCGGAGAACAGCTAGTTAGGCAGCATGACGGAAACTGACATTAGCCCTAAGCACATACTCAAGACTCTGACTCTGACATCCCATCATTTCTCTTGACCTCAGTTATGTGTGTAGTTTGTAACACTGTTCCTCCTACTGACTTCAACAGTTCTGCTGCAGTGGAAGGAATGGGGTCAACGGGCGTTCTTTCATGTTGTTTACTATGGAAAGTTGAAAAAGACATTACTGGTCAGCGGCGTCAACCATTTTGGTGTGAAGTGATCGACGGATTCTGACGCAAAAATACATTTGTTTAATTCATGAAAAGCTTTTAAGTAGAAACTGTGTCCACACTCTGTTGAAGGACTTGTTTTTAAGCTGTTGCTCTCATTACAGTTGTATTTGAACATCATAACTACAGTTCTGAAGCTACAGAAATGTTCACTCAGTTTGAAGTTTTCCATTATGAAGGCTTGAAAGTGGCGCAGTACAATATAAAATTCAGTTGTTAAGTAATAACAAAGGAAGGAAAACTGGATTCTTATTGTGGATTTTTCCTAGCCTTCATAGAATAAGCCTTAAGTAGAATAAGTTAATTGTAGTGACACTGAACTTTTTATCAATAGACTGTGTTTTCTCTCTATCTTCCAGGTGGAACCAGAGACATTGGATCGGCGCTGACAAGGATGTGTATGAGACATCGCAGCATTGAGGCGAAAGTCAAGCAGTTCTCCATGTAAGAATCTTTTCACATCATGCACTGTTCGAGCCTTTCATCTGATAGAAGCTGACATAATACACTGAGTGTTGTCTAGCACGTGCTTATGTTTGAATATTAGAAGAATTTGTGTGGAAGTGGATATAGCAGCCTGTCACCAGAGAGAAAAAGACCAAAATGGTTCAAGTTTATTCTTTGGGTTTTGATTTAAATTAATATTAATTACTGAGTTACTTGTTTGTAACTTACCACAGAAAAAAAACAATTACTCAATCAACACATTTGGTCGAAGCAGCGCTCAGTCACTACAGTCAGTTTCTGATTGTCAGCCTATGAATATACTGTATGTCCTCACATTTTATCTGTATGGTCTATGAAACGCTGTAAAAGAGACAGTGTTTCTGGTGAGGGGAAAGAAAGGCATCTCTAATGTCCTGGTGAACTCACAAGTACAATACATATCTGTATCTGTCTCTTCCCGTCTTTGTTTCTTACTCTCGGATATTCTACACAGACAAGGGCCTCTCTAATACGGGTGGCATTTCAGTACAGATTCCTCTCAGATCTCCATAGCAGGGGCTGTACAGAGAGGGGCTGTGTCCCCAGCCTCCTGCTGGCAGACTGAGACACACACACACACACTCAGACAAGAAATGTCTCCAAGACAAGTCTAATTTTAGTTTTATGCACTAAGCCGGCAGCTGCCCACCCCTCATGCCCCCAGCCTCTTAAACACTCGGAAAGACGGACAGGGCCGCACAACCTTCTTGACTTCCTCCAGGGACAATCAGTGGGACATAAGCAGACTTTTTCTCCCTCCCTCGTCTATATGTTTACCTCGCTGTCTCTTTGTGTCTGTTAATTATTAACTAACCAGACCAGACTGGAGGATTTGTAGGTCTGCCACAGATATATGATTAACTACTAAATGTAGGGTTAGTTTAGGGTAAAATTAAATGAAAGATATAAAAAATAACTTTAAATAAATAAAATTTACTTTTATCTAAAAGCCCTGATGATACATGTAAAAAAATATTTAATTTAGTAAATATCTTAAAAAGTGATGTTTGGGGTCGCGATCCTCAACCCTGATGATACATGTAAAAAAATATTTTTGGGGGGGTTTGTTGACATTGCTTTATGTTTACCAGGAATTTACGAATAAAAGTGGGTCACAAGATTTTTTTTGGGGGGGGGGTTGTCAACATTGCATTATGTTTACCAGGAATTTACGAATAATTTCTACTGATTTTGGTCGCGAAGGTTTGTGGCTTTTAATATATGGGTCCCCAGAAAAAACGTTTGGGAAACACTGTGTTAAAAGATTCAGAAAATAACAACGCTAAACCTGACACATTACGATGGATGGTAATGCTGAAGGTGTTGTGTGTTGTCTGCCAGCTTCATTATAAGTTCTGTGAACTCAGCTAAAAGCATAAATCTGATTTGACAGTGCTTTAACCAGTGCTGGAGAATCTCCTGCTACTTGGAAGGTACTTCTGCCACGAGCAATATGTGGAAAGTAAAATGATTTATCCCCCAGATTAATTGCAACTTTTTATGCATTTTATTTAAAACAGAATTAAAAGAATCTGCCGTTTTTGTATTAGTCCTCCTCTTACTTAAGGAGCTGGCCTCAGATCAGCCGTGAACAGCTTGTTGTTTTCCATGTAGGGGTTTCCTGGAGTGTCTGATCAACCCTCTGCAAGAACAGATGGAGGAGTGGAAAAGAGGAGTCAATACTCTGGACAAGGACCATGCCAAAGGTACTACAAACAATTTGAAATCTGAAAAAGAAGAATTGTTTCCCAACACGATGCATTGGAACTTTTCTTAATCTGCATAACACTCACTAGTTTATTACTTCACTATTACTCAAAACATTCACTGTTGAAGTAATATCCCATAGTTAAGAACTTGTTACAGTACCGACTAAGACAAAGGATTTTACAACATTATTGTCTTCTTTGTCTCTTGCTTTTCATCTAAACCAGAGTATAAAAGAGCTCGACAGGAAATCAAAAAGAAGTCGTCAGATACACTGAAACTTCAGAAGAAAGCAAAGAAAGGTAAAAAAAATAAATAAATAAAATTTTTGCTTCTTTTTTTTAATCATAAATTAACAAGGCAACACTGAAAAGAAAAAAAAAACTGCTGTTGATAACACACTGCTAAAAGTATGTGAATCTTTTTCGGCATTGTTTATGGAACCGGTTAGAGGTATTCTATCTTATTAGAAAATCAGAACTTTAGAACGTGAGTGTTCAACGCCTTCCTTCAAAATATAAATATGATAAACATTGTGTTTTATTTTTGTATTTTAAACATGTTAGGTGTCATTTTTATGCCACAACTATCAACTTGTCCAAAGAAAGGCACGATTTCCGCTGACCCTTAGTGACCCTTAGTTTTCATCATCTGTTTTCTGGATGTCAGCACTGCCAACAATCATCCTGCTCTGCCTACCGTGTTGTTTATTTTACATTGGAGATGACAAAAGTTCTTCATAGACTCAATTACTGTTATTACACCGCTAATGTAGTCGGACGAGATTAAATCAAGAAGTTAACAATCTGAAGTAATGGAAAAAATCCAAGGCCATTATCAGTGAAAATAACAATTGTCAGACTTAGAAGTTGGACAGTGTCTAAAGGTGTGTGTGTGTGTTTGTAGAAGTTTATCCTTACTGATTAAACATGTTCAGGTCTAGGAAAGCTAAACATTACCTTACTTGGTAAACCCTGAGAGCAGAACAGCAGCTGTCTCTGCCCATACTCCTCTTGGCTCAGGTTCTGAATCAGCATTTACCTTAGAAAAAAAAAACATACACACTCACAAATGCCTTAGATAAATATCATGTTGTGTGTGAGCATGCACACGCTGATAGCTGCAGGCATGAGTCAGCGGATGTCAAACCAGTCTAATGTTCTGATGCTGTTCAAAAGTTCAGGAGTATTATAGAGCGTTTTAGTGAATGTAAATCACTGATGCTGGCAAATGACCTACAGTATACAGTGATTAGTTACACTGCTATAGAGGACGTGTCAGGGAAATGAACCCATGAGAAACTCACCCGTGTTTATTCATGTATTAGTGCTAAATGTAAAAAAAAAAAAAAAATCAAACATCATGCATCACCTTTTCAGAATAGTATGTTTTTGCATAGGAAATACTCAGGGATTGTATATATCTATATGGTGGCACAGGTGCATTAATCCAGACACACAGAGCTGCACCATGATACTCTGGTGTTGTGTGCTGGCACTCTCTCATAGTTGACTTGATTGTTTTTCCTCTTTCCTGTCCCCATGTGGCTCTGATACAATCCTTGGGCTAATGCTGCACTGTAGCTGATAATCTAGGTAAGTCAGCCTACACTGTGCAAGTAGCTCTTTACACTGCAGTGCAATGCTTACCCAATCACCCTAATCACCCTGATGAGAAGCTATTAAATTGATGATCACAGAACGAAACACCATGAAAATGTCCTGCTGCCATGAATGCATGAATGGTTAGAGTCATGACGTGTGTGGGATATGACGTGAGGTCATATCATATGCTGTATTTACAAATCACTGTAGGTGTTAGTGGGTTGATAGATCTCTGTTGATGTATGCACCACTAATAGAGACTGAACACAAACAGAAACACAAGGCCTTTCATCTTTATTATATTTTCTACTACCTCTAATATGTGACTGTCTTTCTAGGTTCCTTTATTTGTCTTTGTATTTGCATACAACAACTTTTTTTTCTAACACTAGCGGTAGGTTGTAGACACTCCCTAACTGATTTTAACAGGAGACAAGTTTAGTTGTCAGTTTAGCTGAAAGAATAGTGATCCATGAAGGGTCCATGAAATGAGTTTCTCCTCTGCTCTGTTCATCCAGTCTTTTAGTGTAATTGCAATGGAGAAGTTTTTTTTTCATTCCCTTTTATTATGCATACATAAAGAAAAACTGTCACGTTCTACATAGTATTGAATAATAGAAGGGCATCTGGAAACAACTTGAACAACTTTCAATCCGTCCCTTTTTATTAGGGATTGTCACAGCAGTGGACCGCGTAGTGATTTGGCAGAGATTGTACTCTGGATGCCCTTCATGAAGCAGCACAACCTTGGGCTTTGCACTACTCTACTGTAGCCCTCTTTGGCAGACACAAACTAAAAAAAACAACAATGAAAATATCTTCCAAATTTCCCCTTTTTAAAGTCTTTGCTTGCCAAAAAGTCCTCAAAGTTAGTATTAGTAAGTTCAAACTGGCAGGTTGTTGTATTTACAGTGAACAGTGAACTTTCCTTTTAAGCACATAAATAAGACTCCAGCTGACGGCTGGTGTTGAATCCAGACTGTTAGATGTTGGTCCCATGAGGGTGTTTTTCTGACCCTAGACCTCGGCTCTGCTAAGAAACAGCCTGTGACTGAATCCCTATGTAATTATTGCTCATGTGAAAGCAGTTAATCTTATTAATGTGTCTATCCACTGTGGGTCACTCACATGGCCTCCATGTTCATCCAGATTCAGTTACTAAGTAAATGTAAGTGCATGTTGGGACTGTTGAAAGATGAATATAGAATAACGAGAGAAAACATGACCTTATGACCTCCTCAGTTTTTTGGGTTTTTTTTATGACAAAAACAAACAATATTAATTGTGGTGAATTGACTGTGGACACACCAGGGCATCATCACTATTTACGTCACTTTTGAGTCACTGTCAAGGTGCAACAAGAGTTCCGCTGTTAAAGTAAATAAACACACACACACAGACAAAACCGCAACAATGTCACTAGTCCTCATTGTCTTTAAAAACAGGGAAAAGAGTTGTAAAATATGTTCGCGTGGATTTGTTCACAGTGAAGTAAGTGACCGCTGAGCTTCACTTAACCTCAGTGTTTGTCTGTGGTCGGAGAGAAAAAGGAAGCAGCAATCAGGACCTTGTCATTGACATAGTTGCACAACTTAGAGCTCAGACGTTGGGAATGTGGACAAATTAAGGAGCGATGCATAGTCGAGACCCGGTCGTAACATAACAGGAGCTTAAGTTGAGCACTAACAATCCCTCAGCCGACCGCAGGCTGATATTTTCTTAGCAGGATATGTTTGCATTGTCTCACCACATGTGTGCCCACGTGTGTTCCTTTGTGCGCAATCCTTTCCATCCCCACAGTTATGTGTTTTACATCAACACTTGCATTTTTTTCTATCTAATGGTAAAAAAAGCAAAAGAATACGTGTTTTACATCAACACTTGCATTTTTTCCTATCTAAAAGCAAAAGAATATACTTTAGTAGTTGAATAGAGATGTGTCGTGATGCGCCTTGCTTTAACAGAACGTTTAGAAGAAGTGGTGATGCCTGATGTGTTCCACACTCTTCATGGGCACTACCAAGACGACAGCAAAGAAAATATTTGGCTTTCCATCTGTCTCTGACAAACTGTCTTTCCAAAACCGCTTTGGTTATGTGAGAGCACTGTCCTCCAAGACTAGAACGGTTGGAAGAAACCGGAGCAGAGAATGCTCCATCACTTCACTTCGTGCCAGGGAGACACCACAGCATCCCTGGCATCGACGCTTGTAAAGTTGTTTTTCTAAACCGAGGCCAACACAAGCTCAAAGTTTTTTAGAGTTTTTCTTTACTCCAAAAACAGAATCAAAGCGTCGTAGCGATGACAGGAATGTCGATGTGACGTTTGTCACTCAGTGGGAATGCGTCGTTGTAGAAGAAATTGTCGTCTATTAAATACTCATGATAATTACAAAAGAATTCATTGCTTTCTTCACCAGCAGCAGTTTTTTTAGTTTACGTGTCCACGTGACACCTGGTCATTGGGTGATACAGTTTAATAGTGAACCACATACAGATGAAGATGGAAACGCTGTTAGAAATCAATACAGAAATGTCTCACACAAAGGGAAACGTACAGTAATGAGTTTCTTCCTGTGTTGGGAAGGAAAGCATTGAGAAATGTTTCTGCTCATACGTCCAAGTCACCACAGAGTCTTGTACAATGTAGCTCTATACTTGTCTGCTCGCTGAGATTCTTTTGGACCTAAATGAAACTATAAATATATACAGTACTGCAATTTGGACTTCCCGGCCTGGTTTCCACGCTCCGTGGACGCCGCCGTGGTCTCCATAACACAATATTGTTGGACGTGCAATGAACACACACACATATAATACTAACATTTTTCTTTAGTGCAGCATTGCAGACACAAAACCGAGGTTGCCATTTTAATTTTCTAAGTAAGGAAAATCACTGTTGTTTCATTTCATAATCCACAGCTGGAGTCTATGAACAATCTAACAACAGCTTCATGTTGTTCCTATTTAGGAAACAACTTAAATTTATATTTTTTTGGATATTCGGTTTGGAATTAGCCTTTTTCCCCCCTAAAAATTCAAAATGTTGTTTTTTCTTATATCAACACGTTCTTATTTCAACAATTTCCCCAGTGTGGGATCAATAAAGTTCAACCTTGAACCTTTTTTGTTAATTTTCCACCATCTGTTATTTTATTTATTCTCTGGTTTAATTTGTTCGTCCAGCTAACTGGCATGACAAAATTAAAACATTAAAAAACCCGACCGTATTTAAAATATAAATCTATACGGTGAGACTTTTGTGTGGAAGCCCAACTCCTTACCCACGGACACGTGTGATGTCCTCAAATGTAGTTTGTGTGAAAATCTGAACCTACAGCCAGCATCTCATTAGTTTCAGCTACCGTGGCGACGGCAGGGCCATAATGAGTTTCCATTCGGTGTGCTTGTCTGGTATTTGCATTTGTGCGTCTGCCGGGGCGCCATTGTTAACTGTCATTTTTACTGTGGTCTGCTGAAGCACAGATAAACAGTGGAAACAGAGCTTCCCACATGTGTAATGTATAGAGCGTCCTGGCGTATCAGAGAGGAAAGAGCTGATGGCTTGTCCTCACGATCAGTTGGAGGTTCTCGTGTTTTGCGTTTGAAAAAAATGATTGGCCGCTGAAACATTATCTGCGTTCTTCTTATTGCTGCTTTCCACGATATTGGACCTCGCGCTGAAAGGTCAACAAAAGACATCAATTTATTATCTCTGCCTCTAAACTAGACAGACGGACAGACCACATTCAACCTTGATGTACCAAAGTGGTGATGGTGTGTCTGGTCCTAAGTGTAGTTTGAGTGGAGAGATAATGGCTGTGAGGACTATTGTATGTCATCTTGGGCAGACGCCAGCCTTTCTGCCTCCATGAAGAAGTTCAGAGATGACTTGATTTGGCCACAGGCTTTCCTCACTGAGCTCCACACACACACACACACATACACATACACGCAATAGGCACAAAGACCCACATTGATAACCAGATAACCTTGGAATTGTCATGATGGTCCTCGAACACAGATTTTATGGATACACCGGAACACAAACACCCAGGACTCTTATCCTCAGAATTTAAATGGTCGACAAAGTTGCAGTTACTTACTAAGTGTCCGGTGACATCAGATGGTACTTTTCCAAGACAAACTGCAGATCATCGCTCGAGATAACCTTCCCGCCACTTTCCAACACTCTCTTGACAAGAGAGGCCATTCATGCTAAGATGATAGTCAGACAGAAGCGGCCGTATTCAATAGTAACAACTGTAAAACCTGTACATGAAACCTAAACCAGTAGATTAAAACTACTGTGTGTTTTATTAAGTAATGTTGAACCTTGGAGAGATCCTTGTGTGAGAAGCTATTTTTTTCTACTCTGATTGTTAGTAAACATGAGAGATTTGTGTTCCTTTCATTCAGAATTAAATTATACAGAAATCTCATAATTGTGTTGGTTTTTCTAATACCAAGATAGGTACATGTTGTTTCCTTCGCCTTAATAATAGCTCACGTTATTTAAGGTCACTACTAATTAAACCACTAACCTCTATAAAAATTGCATTAATTACTGCATTTAATAATTTAATAATTGAAATTGTTGCTCTCATAATTATGGTAATCAGTTCTGTTGTGAAGAAAGTTAATCATTTTCTCCTACATTCTGCCCAGTAATGAAGTAACCATGTCTTTATTGATATGCAGTATTTCTTTCTTTTGTGTGCCCCTCTTTTTTTTTGCCCCCCCTTCCCAAGGTCGAGGTGATATACAGCCCCAGTTGGACAGCGCCATGCAGGATGTCAGTGATAAATACATTCTGCTGGAGGAGACGGAGAAACAGGCCCTGAGGAAAGCTCTCATAGAGGAGAGGCAGAGATTCTGCTGTTTTGTAGCCATGCTGCGGCCCGTGGTGGTGAGAGAAACTACAGAGTCATCCAGTACTGCAGTGTAGATGGACAACCTATTTAAGATTCTACACACGGTGTATTTGCATTCAAACCTTCACTGACACTTGATCCTAGCTGGTGACGTTGGCATTAGGTCGCTGTTTTGTAAACATTGTCATTCTAAGTAGTTCCTATGTGTCCTTCCTCTCTCACTGATGTTTATTCTCTCAGGACGAGGAGATTTCTATGTTGGGCGAGGTCACTCATCTCCAGGCCATCTCTGATGACCTGAAAGCCCTGACCTCTGACCCCCACAAGCTTCCTCCTGCTAGTGAACAGGTGGGGCCACTTTTTCATCTTCATTCACCCTCCTGTTTTGCTTCTGTGCTGTGCAAGAATAAACATTTTCATATGTTTGACTTTTTATTTCGTAACCATCTTAGGTGATCCTGGACCTGAAGGGCTCCGACTACGGATGGTCGTATCAAACGCCTCCTTCATCTCCCAGCACCACTATGTCCAGAAAGTCAAGCATGTGCAGGTAAGATCCCTATGGCCAGTCATGTGACTCTGACCAAATATGCAAATAAGACTCTCTGTCTGTCAAAGGCCCTTTGGTTTTCCTGTCTCCATAATTCTATGTGCTTTGGTAAAATATAAAATTGGTAAAAATAACCAGATAAAACAACACACAGTGACATCACTCCATTGTTAGACACATTATATCACAGTACACTGTTATGTAAGAGTGTATTACCATACCAGTAATACCTGTGGAACCCATTTAAGTCATATGTCTTGTTCAGAGACCACTTACATAAGAGTGAATAAGACCTGAGAACAAGAGCCTAAACTTTGCCTTGCCCTCTGAGTGTCTGCCCCCCAGTGGTCGTCAGAGCTGCAGCTCATTTCAGTTCTGCATGTCTTTATAATTGTTCATCCCATACTGAGGGAATGGTTGAAGTTACAGAGAACGGGTTCAGTGTTTGTCGCTGTTCGGACCATGACATTTATATCTGCTTCTTTTTTGTGCTTTTGGCTACTGACTTATTTTACTCTCTAGCAAAAAAAAGAGATTTTTAGTTTGGGATTGTGCTTGCTTTGCATTAACTTTATTTTTTTAACATGTTTAAACCGATTAACAATTTGGGGGCTTTTTGGATTTAATCTGAGCTTTTTAAGTGTTCTAATGTCTCATCAGGTTAATATTAAATATTTATATATATAAATATATATATGTATCTATATATATGTATATAAATTGATTGTTTAGCAGCAGCTTACATGTGATATGTAATAAATTCAATTTGTTTTCTTTGTAACTTTGTAAATGCATTTTTCATAAAATTAGTTTTTTGGTAGTATTTAGTTTATTAAGATTATTTGACCTATTTGACCTATTATCTATGTCTTGTAATTCAAAGTAGGTAATTTCATTCTTGTTTAATTTTTTGAAGCAGTTGTTCAGGCATAAAAACTTGTGATTTCCTGCCTGTAATTATCCTCCTGATGATTTTACACCTCATGTGTTGGTTGCCTTTGTTGTTGTGACTTGATTCGCCTCAGTCGCTGCTTTGCTGCATTTTGGTGTGGTGTGTTAATTGTTTTCCCACCCTGTCTCCTCCACACTCCTCCCCCCAATCCTCTGCCTTCATCTCTCCTCTATTGTTCCCTTTTTTTTATCTCCTCTTACCCAACTTTTATCCAACAATCCACTCCTTTGGGTGCACTTTGATTCTCTCTACCCTGCCTGTCACTGCCAAATGTCCTCCCCCCGGTCTCCCCGCCCTCCCCCCCACCCCTTCCCATTTACAGTAGTCTGAACAGCGTTAACAGTAGTGACTCCAGGGGATCCAGTGGCTCCCACTCTCATTCTCCTTCCTCCTCTTCTTCCTCCTCTTCCTCAAACCACCTTTTCCACCACCATCACCCCCGTCACCGGTACCGTAGCTCCACGCTGCCACAACAGACCCCGGCTCGGCTCTCCAGCATATCCTCCCACGACTCAGGGTTCATTTCTTCATCGCAAGACCAGTACATGACGTCCAAGTCGTCCTCACCCATGCCAGCTGAAACAAAGGTAAGAGGAACCCGCAGCCACCCGCAGTTAACCACACTTCGAGTTCCACGTATGTACGCATGTTTGAGACAAGTCTGTGAAAACCACGTTCGCTCTATGATTCACAAGTTATTGTAGTCCAGAAGAAAAACCCCAAATCAGCAATCCACAGGAGTCTTCTCCTCACATCTCCCCGGCCACTTTAACAGGCATTTCACTGGCAGCGGTGGTGTGTGTGCGATCATGGTGAAGTCATTTCACTGCTATTATTATAGCATAAATGCACAGGAAATTAGTCTGCTTCCATTCAAGCCCATGGGCAAAACAGGTCAACCCCATCCTGCTATTAAAGAGTCAACTGCTGTGACAGACTGTGGTTTGGTTCAACTCGCACAGGCCTCAGTACTGCATGTTGTATTTTCATTTAATGCATCAGAGCGAAATGACATGTTGTGGTGTCAACAGAATGTTCAGCGGTACTCGGAGCGTGTCTCAATCAGCAGGTCCTGGTCTGTCTCTTATCGAACCATCTGAGACGGGGCCCTGGGATAATTATCGGTGATGTCGTCCAGCACATTATTTGTGTGTGGCTTGTGGTTTGAGATCAACCATGAGAGCGGCTGTTTTGTTAGCAAGCCAGTAACCAGTGTTCCCCCTGTCCAGAGAGCACGGCTGTAGTTGGAGTCCAAGATATTTTATGATGCAGTGAAAGAGGTTTGGCAACTCCGTACCTGACCCTTTTGTAGTACAGTCATGGGAATCGCTCTCCTCATTCCTGCTGTACTTGTATTGGCTGCTGCTTTAAAGAGAACAGTCTCAGTGCTAACATGGGGATAAGCAGGACCCACTGTTTAACCTGAGGTCAACAGGGCCGTGGCCTTGGCCGACACCTACAGTTGGTTTCTGTTATTTTCAGCCATTTTAAATACCTGCTTTAATGACCCAAAGCTCTAATCTCTTCTAGAGACCGGTTTGCAAAAATATTATCTCTCTCCAGGCAGCAATTCTGTATTATGCTAATAATCCTACTGCAGAAACCTGGTATTTAAATGCTGTTATAATGATTAAGGAGAACATTAGGTCATTCTTTTTGTTGATAAAGAGGTGACCCAAATGCTTTATAATGTTTTATAAAGTAAAAACTCTTTCATATGATTTGCGTGAAGGTCAGGTATTGTGTCTGATCCTAATTGTACCTGTTGCTTTTGACAGACATTTCAAAAAAATACTTTAAAAAAATACTTTTTTTTGTAGTACATTTATGCATTTTCATCACCCACTCTTGTAGGTTGGACTATTGTCAAGCCCCTTCATCAACACCCGAATTTGGATAAAACTATCATTTACAATTCAATGCTATCAATTCCCCACAATGTGACAAATAAAGAAAAGAATAAAGAAAATATTGAAATTCAAATTCATTTGCCCCACTGCACCCCTCTGCAGTAGCACAGTACCCTCTAGTGGGGACTGCCCCCCATTTTGGGAACTACTGCTTCAAACTATGTTAACAACAATCACAATAACGCTGCTATGAAGTGTCACTGCCTGATATCCACGGACTTTTACTGTGGGTTCACCTTCTCACTGCCTCTGAAGTCACTTGGCTCTTCTCCTGACTAACTGCTGACAGCTGTGGAAAGTTGCCCCCGCTCTCTAATAAACTGCTTCTCCTTCTCCCCTCTCTGTCTCTCCACTGACACGTGCCTGTCCCATTCTTTCTCCCTGGATTTGTCTGTTGCTCTCTCTTTCGATTTCTTTATCTCTCTCTCTCTTTCTTACTCCCTCCCCCGTGTCCCCCCCCCCTCTCTGGACTCACCCTCTGGCTGATTACTGCTGCTGCTCCTGTCCTCCTTGTCCCAGCCTTGTCCTGGTTCCAGCTCCTCTGAGGTGTCAGAGCCTGTGGACTTTCACATTGACTGCAGCTCCCCCTCTCCTCTCGCTGCTGCCACTGCACCACAGCACACTGACAAGGTGAATTGCACTCATCCATCACAAACCTTCCCTTACTCACTGCATTACCGGTGCTGTACCAGCTTTACAACTTCAAACCACATCTAAGTGTTGGCTGTACTTTGCACTTACTCAGACAGACAGATAATAAACCAATAAAAAAAGCTTTTTTTTTTGCATCATTTTTTTCAGTTTTTATTTTGTTCCTCATTTGCAATTATGCCATTTGTTTTGCTTTACATTCCATTACCTTATTATTTTTGTGCTGTGTTGATTCATTTCTCCTCATTCATTTTTTTTAATATAATTTGTCCTACTTGATTCATTTCTCCTCATTCATTTTTTTTTAAATATAATTTGTCCTACTGTGTTTGTTTTTACCATCCTCCCTCCTCTCCTCCTCCTCCTGCTGATGAACAAACATCCAGTTGACCAATGGTTATGACCACTACAGTCCAGTCAACTCCCCCACATTGCATAGCAACGGTCTGGGTTCAGTGTCATCCACTGCCTTCCCGTTCTTCCCTCCATCCTCCTCATGCTCCACCTCCACCTCCACCTCCTGCCCCACTCGTTCATGGTCACGCCCAGCCTCAGCGGTGCTTCCAGACTACCCTAGCTACTGCACGCTGGGCTCGCCCATGATGCCTTCATCCCGTGTCCCGAGCTGGAAGGTTTGTTCATTTGTTGCCCATGTGGATGTTCATGTAAACATTGGATTATTGTATGAGTTGTATGGAAACCAGGCTATCAAAAATAACGTGTTAATCACATTCAAATAATTGTAAAATGCATACGGAGAATGATGCGCACTTTATATCAAATAATTCCAGCGTTCACTTAGCTTATAGTTATTTTTTCGCATTTTTCTTAACATATTTTTTATAGTTTTAATTAGTAATACAAATCACCCTGCAGTTATTGCTCTGTAATTAATCTGATTAAAAGTTTTAATCATTTACCAGCCTCAGACAGTAATAAATACATTTAAATACATATTTGTGCTTTATAAATGCTTCTGAAAAATAAAAAGCCTTCAGAATGTTCATATTATTGGGGTATAAACAATAAAAACTGACCGGTCTTTCTTTCTCTGTAGGACTGGGCCAAGCCAGGGCCCTATGACCAGCCCATGGTCAACACACTGAGGAGGAAAAAGGACAAAGAGACTCCTACAGTTGTCGACACTAATGGTCATTTGAACGGCGACAACAACATTGCTCCTTTAGGATCAGCCTCCATCTCTAATTCAACACCAGCTCGGGCGGCACTTCAGACACCGAGCTCTCTAACCTCAGTGGAAGACAGGAGCAGGGCCATGGCTGCACCTCTGCAGGTCAGACTTATCTCTATTATTGTCTCCTCACATTGGTTGTTATGGAGTCAAATTACACGGAGGATGAAAAGGCGTATAGATGAGCAAACTACAGTAGCTCCAACCAGGAAGCTTAGATTTGTTCACTTTGGACAAATGAACAGATTTAATCAACGTGGAGCCTCAGAGGTTACGCTTCAGTGTATTTGGACCTTCGGATCTCATAAGGATTGATTAAATACCATGAAATTATAATCCAAGTTTATTTAAAATCTTAAGCAGCCGCCAGTTGTCTGATGTCGATCAAGAGATTTAATCTTTATTACAGCTCTTTCACTAAACTGTGATGAATGAAAAGCAGCTCAGCGTCATTTGAAGACATCCAGTTTGTTGCAGCTGGAGCCACATGTGCAGTTATTTAACATTTTAACCTCCGTTTTGTTTTAATTCCTCCTGAATCTCTTAAACACTGGTCAGTCTCTCTAAAATGCCAGCTGTTGTAATTAAGTTTTGGCTGACCACGCTCTCAACTATTATCAGAATCTTTTTTTTTTCTCATAACCCTTCAACCACTTTAATGCAGCCTCTGCTGCTAATATCCCCATGTAATGACTCCAATGAGTTTTACCTAATTATTTTAATGACTTTGTACCAGGCTCTGTCTACACAGCCGGACTTTCAAACTTAATTACCGTAATTTTCTCTGTGTGACTGTTTCAGGCTGGTGATATTGAGGCACATGAGGAACTGGCTCTGGCCTTGTCCAGAGGTCTGGAGCTGGACACCCAGAGGTCCAGCAGAGACTCCATCCAGTGTTCCAGTGGCTACAGCACTCAGACCAACACCCCCTGCTGCTCTGAAGACACTATACCGTCACAAGGTAGCACACAGTCAGAGACCTTGGTCTGTATTTACACTGTCTGAACACATTATATAACTGTTCCTTCTCTGTTCTCTCAGTGTCAGATTATGACTATTTCTCCATGGCTGGAGACCAGGAGCCTGAACCGCAGCAGCCCGACTTTGACAAGTCCTCAACCATCCCCAGGAACAGTGACATCAGTCAGTCATACAGACGCATGTTTCAGACTAAACGTCCAGCCTCAACAGCGGGTCTGCCCAGCCCTCAGACTCCCTACCCTGGACAGGGGCCCTACCCTACAGCGTCCTATCCTCAGACTCCAGTCCACACAGGAGCTTATCCGTCCACTCCTACTGGGCCGTATCCCACCACCCCAACAGGTACAGACAGTCTTAGCAGTACACTTTGACAATGAAATACTACATGATGATTTATTATTTGCTTTTTTTGCTGAAATACTTTGTACTGTGTCATGGCAGGCTGTTCAAGTCAAGGATACTTCTCCGGGTCAACCTCCCATAATGCCTACGGCTCATATTCTACAGGCCACGGCCCAGTCATCGTCACCCCCGGAGTTGCCACAATCCGTCGCACCCCCTCTTCGAAACCTACTGCTCGGCGTTCAGCCTCGGTCGGGGGCACTGGCCCCATCCCCATTCGTACTCCTATGGTCCCGGTCAAAATCCCAACAGTACCAGACACCGCAGGTGCATTCAACGGGAGCAGAAACTCAGAGGTGTTAGTAGGTGCGGGAGGAAAAAGTCCAGACTCTCCCACATATGCTGGAGGGGAGGATGTCGACATGTTACCCATGATGTCCTGGAGTGGCCAGGCTACCACTAACCCCCCCACCGTCCTGCCTATCTACCAGAGTGAGAGTGGGCCTCAGCAGGGAGGAGGAGGAGACGAAGAGGAGACAGGAGACTTCGGAGGAGGAAACATGCTGGTGGCCATCCGCAAAGGTGTCAAACTCAAGAGGACCCTCACCAACGATCGGTCTGCTCCACGTATCGCATGATGACATCGTCACTTCGTTTAGGCCCGTGCTCCTGCATCACAGATGTTAGGCCTCACCCTTATTATTTTGACTGACATTTTGTACATTTCCATCTGTGAGAATCACTCACTGAAGAAGCCTCTAGATCAAAGTGGGGTTCATGTGATCCTCAAGGTTTCAACAGTGGCCAGAGACGTGTCAGAAAATATGAAATACATCAATTTGACCCAAATACAGAATACGACTGAGAAGAAGCACAAGTGAGAGGAAAAGGGAACTGCTTTTAGGAATAAAACACTCTTAAAGCTCGAGCAATAAAATGGAACCTGAGGTCATCTCTGTGTTTGACTGAAGACACTGTATATGTTCTTAGGAAGAAGCACAGAGCAGCAATACTTCACAATATGCCTTCAAGAACCCAGTAAAGATGTGCATTACACACATGGATGTGTGTATCAGGGCTAGGGCAAGGGCTTTGTGTATACTTCCTCTCAGAGTTTGGTGTGTACAGCATGAGTAAATGCTAAATGTTGTGGGAGTGAACGTCACCTTTGAAGGACAAGAGGAACACTCAGGTGCAGAGAGAAGTAATCATTTTATTTTTCCTGCCCTGTCCTTCACCGGCTGCAGACATGGAGACATAAAGAGGGGAAACTTGTAAGGAGAGCGTTGAGGTCGCACACAGACGTCGACCCAGATGATAGACTTCCAAGACCACCGTGCGACTGACGCCTCACGCGGTTGATTTAGTACTTTCTGTTTTCTTTTGAGTTTTTTATGTATTGTAAATATTCTGCACGTCATATGAGGCCGCTTCTCGTACACATCAATCACTTCTTTATCTTCTCCTATTAGTGCCAAAATCCTTCAGTTTCACGGCCTTCAGTCGAGGATTGTTGATTCTCTTTTTTGTAATATTTTTGATTTGTTCTGTATTTTCTTCTTCAACATCGTTCTGTCCATGCGACTTCTGAGTGGCTTCTGCAGTTTAATAGTTTTCATGTAAAATATTCTAAAAAAAACCCTCATTGTTTTGTAGCATCTCTTTAGCCACACTGCAGCCTTTGCATTGATCGTCCACAACTCTTATAGTAGTCAAACCTAAGCTGTGCTCTCATGACTGTACAATAGTTATAGTATTAATATGTTTAAGAGAAGATAACAAGGCAAAATATTTTTCATGTTTTGAAAGTTAGGAATTAAAAGACGTCTACGTTTGTCTTCAGTTACAGTGCTGTTGTTGAACTCCTACATGTAGCATGCAACCTGATGGTAAGGTTTTCTCACATCACTTGTTTTTTGTTTGTTTAATATGTAAAAGCTTCACATGTGACAAGTCCAGCTTCGACAGATGTTTTTGAGAATATCTTTAAAACAAAAATCTTTTTTTTTTTAACCTGGACAATAGAACATTCTAAGAAAGATTAAGACTTAAGGCTAAAGGATGTCAGTGTCACTGACCTGTAGTCAGTGTTTGTTTGTTTTTTTCCCTCTTCAGCTGAAGCACTGTGAGATTGTGGACACTACAGCATGTATGAAAGTGTAAATACTGTTTAGATGCACAGCTTAGTCCAGGAACCCACACTTTGTTTTAATTTATTCTCTGTCCTAGTTCTTTAACTTTTTCTTTGTTCCTGCCTCACCCTGTCTTTCTTTATATATAAGGTTCTGTCCTTCTACATTTCATGGAAGTCCAATGTTTCATACCAACACAACTGAACGTAGATGATTTAAAGCCAACTGTTGTAAAAGTGAACAGTTGTCAGAGAAAAGTGTTTTGTTTTGGACCTGCAGAACCAGAAGGAAAGCTGAAATGAAAGTGTTTGAGTTCTGCAGTGGAGAGGTTTGAATCAGTATTATGAGTGGAGGCTTGAGGACGACGTAGGCGAGAATCCACTTCACCGTCAGCTCAGTCCAGGTCGTTAGTGGTTACATGCTGTAAATCTTCACTTGGTGGTTCTACACTTTTTATGTAATGACTGGGCTGAACGTGGACTGAGTGTAACCTTACTGCAAACTGTGAACCACACTGAGGTTGGTTTAAGTTTAGACGGTTGTACTCCACGTACGTAGAGCAGATTCCATGTTTATCCGATCTGCTTGGAATATGAACAAATGGGCCGGTCAGGTGGACGATTCCCCAAACACGTTGAGAGTTTTGAAACCTATTTTTTAAATTTGAGATTTAGTGTAACTAGGTCAGTAAACAAGGGAAATTAAATACAAAAGCAGACCATAAATTCCTTTGGTCATTAAAATATTTTTTTAAAAACCTTAAATGATGAAATGTGGTGTCTCAGATGTTTCGGGAAACCCAGGTTTTGGCTCTTGTTTCATTGATGACATTATTAATTATTGTCTTTGTTTGTCCCATCTATTCTTCGACCGTCCATCTGTCTGAATTTTGTATTGTCAAGCTGTAATTTTCATATTTAAAAATGCTAGCACAAATATATATATATTATATCAGAGCTGCCAAATGTCACTATATTCTATGATATAGGAAGTTTATAGTTTGTGAGGGTTTGAGATCACAGTGAAACCTGGTTTCTAGTTTAGTTTTTATCTAACCCCTTCCTCCCCCCTCCTCGACACCTGCTCCCCACCCTGAGGAGAGTTGCTCTCTCTGTCTTTTCCCGTACAGTAAACGGGCTGCTTTCATGTTTATTTCAACAAGTTATAAAATAGTAAAAGGTAAACGTTTGCCTTAGTGGCCTCCCTAAAGTGTGACTGTACAACCTTCATGTGTCTGCTTCCTTAATAAACTAAAGGTAAAGTACTTTTGTGATTTTTTGTTTTTTGCTTCTATACACAATTAATACCCCACTTTTAAACATTTAGTATTTCTTCTGAGAAGCACGAGAAATTTGATCTCGTGTCGAGGTTGCCATGACAACCGGACTCTGTTGCGTAAACACTGACACTTTCACCAGTGATAATGGCAGGACCCACATTTAAAGGGAGAGGGGGTTTTTCGTTTATTGACCACTAGAGGGAGTCGTCGTCCATTGTTTTAAACAGCCCGATTGTTATAGTTTCTGTTTGGATGAAACCTCACCCCTCTGAAAGGAGGAGATGCCTGGAAAACATTCATCCACTCAGAGGAACTGAAGCCAAATCGAAGAAGCCACTGTGACGTGAAGGTTCCATTGTTGGGGAAAAGCACTGTTGAAAAGA